AGGCGACACAGTATACTGGTACCAGCAGAAGGCAGGGAGGCCCTCCCCGGTACTTCCTGTACTACTACTCAGACTCCAGTAAACATCAGGGCTCCGGGGTTCCAAGCCGCTTCTCTGGGTCCAAAGATGCCTCAGCCAATGCAGGGCTTCTGCTCATCTCTGGGCTGCAGCCCGAGGACGAGGCTGACTATTACTGTGCTGTGTTTCTCGGCAACCCTGTTACATACACGGTGCCCCAGCCCCACAGGAAAGTGAGACTAAAACCTCCCCTGTGCTCTCCCCACTGGGATGTCACTGCTGCTCTGCCTGGGACCAGGTCTCACTCAGGGTGACTTTCTGTTGTCACATCTTCAGGAAGCACCTGAGTTTCCTCTGAACAGCAAATCTGACCCTGTCACAGCCTCTTCCTCATCTCACATCTGAGACTGAGCATTGCTGTTGTATCTCAGCCTGCTCGTGTTTCCACAGGCAGACAGGACTTGCTCTGAGATGAACAGCTTCCCATTGGGATGTTATATGTGATGGAAAGTGGTTGGTCCAGGCCCTGACCCCCTCAGAGTTGAGGGGTCTCTGAGATGCTGGCTGTCTAGAGACTCAATTTGGGCTTTGAGATACAAGACCTTCAATTGGGAAGGAGTGGTAACCTACATAATAACAAAGAGCCATTAAATATTAACTATAACCTTACAAATGCCATTCATAGTTGCAGCAGAAATAAGAAATACTTAAGAATAAATCTGACAGACACCAATTCTTGTACATGGAACTATGAAATATTCCTGACATAAGTTAGGAAGACCTAAATGAAGGGACATAATATCATTTTAATGGTGAATACACTCAATTCAATGATCCCTAACATGTCTATGCATTCATTGGAGGTTGCGATGACAGGCCCGCACAGCAAATGATCAGGAAGAAATCTCAGCAAAGGAATGAAAACTGGAAGAAAAGACACAAAGGACCTTCCAGCAGTGGGAGAACCCAGCTCCACGTGTCCTCGTGTGGGAGGGTTTTCCCTCCCCAACAGGCACTCCCTGTGTCCCCTCCCCTCTGCCCCCCATAGGAGTGTTTCCAGTACTGCAGGAGGAGGTGGGGCTGTGACCATCAGGATCAGGAACTTCCCCCCACATGCCCTGAAGCTTCTGCAGAGCCCGGATCCAAGGTCCCCTTCTCCCGCAAAGGGAGTTGCAGGAATGGGGTGCCGGGTCACCTTGGTCATGATCTCAAGGCCTCCAGGCAGAGCTGCCACCTGTGACCCAGGACAGAGGAGGATGACTCTCAGGGATTGAGCCCTCATCTCTGACTCTTGTTTGTCCTCTCGGCCTCCTTGCCACCTCGGGGTCCCAGCCTGAGGAGGGGACT